TAGGGAGCCACCAACCAGGTAAGGGGGGTAGTCTTAAGGGACAGAGGACACCTGGATGGCCCAATGTCCTCCAGGGGTGGAGGCATCTTTTGAATTCTGCCAATCACTCAGTGCCCTTCTGGAATTCCAGGATTGACAGACAGTGCTTGTGTTATTTCGTGACATGCATACACTTGTTTTTAAGGTAAAAAAGGGAAGTTTATTTTCTGACTCTAATATTTACAGATTTCTAAAAGTGACAGAGGATTGGAGGGTGAAAGTGCCACCTCTCCAATGACACTGGACAAACTAACAGTTTAGTAAATTTCTTTTCTTCTATAAAAGAATGCAAAACAATAAGTTATTTACAGAAAGTGTATGAGAAAGTTTGTTACCATCAGAAGGCTTAGAAAATTTTAAAAAATCAAGGTAACACAGAGGAACAATGAATCTGACTCCATGTTCTCAGAAGGCTAATTTATTATTTTAAAATACTATATTAAAGAATAGTAAACTAAACTATACTAAAGAATACAGAAAGGATACTTACAGAAGGCTAAAAAGATAATAATGAAAACTCGTGACTCTCTGAAAGAGTCGCAACACAGCTTGGCCCTGATTGGCCAATAAGTCAAAACACTCACACCAGAAATCCAATGAAACAATTACCTGTGGCAAACACATTCCACATGTGAACACAACACAGGAGAAGCAAATCAGATAATTATTGTTTTCCTTTTTCTCTGAGGCTTCTCAGCTTCCCAGGAGAACAATCCTGGGCAAATGGATTTTTCAGGAAATGTGAATGTGACACAGTTCCACAGAGGTGTCTTTATTGTGCAAAGGGTGACAGTGTCAGCTCTTCTGCTGAACAGTGCAGAAATGGGGGTTTCTATAGGGTATAGGGTTTTGGGAATAGTAAGGGTCAAGGTGAAAGTGACCTGTTGTCTTACAGAGAGATAACAAGAGTCTAAAGGTCGAAGAGGGGCTTCTTTTGGTCCAGTCATCATGACTAGGCATTTCTTATCTTAGGCAACTGACCGCCAGGGAGGCCTTTCAGGCCCTGTGGCTGCTGCAGCACCAGGCATCTCCTCCTGGAGCTGAGGATGAGGCATTTATCCAGGCTTTGCTTGGCTGGGGTGTCCTGTGAGCACTGGGATGCATATGGAGCATCCCAATGGGACCACAGCCACTCAAACACACTGCCCCAAGCTGGAGTGTCCAACCCCCTCAGAGATGCCAAAAAGAGAGGGCAGCCTTGGGTACATGGCTGTATTGCAAATCAAAGGGGAGAGAGAATGAGGCATCTGACTCCATGGATATGAGAAGGTTAATGATTTACTTTATTATACTCTACTATATACATTTCATCTAAACTGAATCTGCCAAGCACTCCCTCTGCACACACCTGCTCACACTGCACAGAATCTCGTGGCTGTCACCCGACAGTCCCAACACACACACACATACACACACACAGCTGGCCCTGATAGGCCAAGGAAATAAAACAATCATTACTTTGGGTAAACAATCTCCATATTGCCTTCTACTTTGGCACAACACAGGCACAGCGAGTGCTAAGAATTGTGTTTTCCCTTTCTCTGAGGTTCAGAGAATGTGAATCTCAGAAATCCTTGGGAAGAATTGTGCCTTGCTTTTCTCTGGGAAGAGAAATGTGCCAACAGCCCTCAGCATCCCTGTGTCACAGGGCCCTGATTTCTGCTGTCCCCCTACAGGGACGGGCCCCATCCACCTGAACGAGGTGCAGTGCCGGGGCACCGAGAAGTCCCTGTGGAACTGTCCCTTCAGGAACATCACCCAGGAGGACTGCAAGCACACGGAGGACGCTGCTGTTCGCTGCAACATCCCCTACATGGGCTACGAGAACCTGGTGCGCACCACGGGGGGCTGCTGGCTCCGGGGGGCTCCCAGCAGTGGGGTCTCAGAGTGAGGGGCTGGGAAAGACCCACAGACCCATGGGAACCCCATCTCTCCTCCTCTGCACCCCACACTTTTCACCCTGTAATGGGAGCTCAGGGATTTTGTGGGTGGGAGCCCCTGTGAGGAAGAGGGTGGAGGGAAGGCTCTGGGTGCTGCTCCCTGCTGCTTTTCCTGCTGCCAGCCTGTGCCCACTTCCCAGCAGAAACACCAGAAAAAAAAAATCACTAAGGGATAACCAAGAGAGATTTTTTTTTTTACCCATGATGAAACAAGCAAATGGAGCCACTTGTTCCTGTTTGCCCTGGCCCATTGTTTCATCCACTTTGAGCTTTTTTTAATGATCTTTAACTCTCTCACACCTGTCATTTCTGAAATGGTGCCATTTCAAAATGAACTGTTTTCCCTGAGCTGGTGAGTCAATTCCCGAACTCACAAGCTATTTGTTGTCCCCAAATCCACCAAGCTGGCAGCTAAAGCTGAGCTTGGCTCTGCTCAGTCCCCTGAGTGCAGGCACTGCAGCACAGCCTGGGACAGGGGCTGGGGACAGCCCTGCATGCAGGGGGAGCATCGCCTGTGACGGTGATGACGCTGCCACCGCTTTTCTCTGCAGATTCGGCTGAGCGGGGGCCGGA